CCATTTCTCTTTTTCTTTCCTTCTATTATTCTTTCCCTTCTATTTTTCTCTTTCTTTCCTTTATTCCTTCTGATCTCATTCTTTCCTTCATTCTTTTCAATCTCATTCTTTCCTTCCCTATCTTTCCTTTACTTCCTTTCCCCCTTCTTTCCTTCATTCTCTTCATTAATCTTGCCTTTCTTTCTAGTATTATTTCCCTTTCCTTTATTCTTCTTTTAAACTCATTCTTTTCCTTCTTTCCTTCCATTCATCTTCCTTCCCTCCTTTCATTCATCTTTCCTTTCCCCTTCTTCCTTTCAATGTTTATGTCCTTTATTCGTTGCCTTTCCTTCCTTCTCCTTTATTCTTTCCTTCCTTCTACTTCCTTTTTTGTTTTTGCTTCCTTCCTCCTCGTTCTTTCTTTCCCTTCTCTTTATTTTCCTGCCTGTTTTCCTTCTCCTTTTAATCTTATTATTTCCTTCTTTAATTGTTTTTCCTTCCTTCCCCTTCTCTTTATGTTCCATCTTTCCTTTTTTCTATTACTTTTTTTCTTCCTTCATCTCTCCTTCTTGTTCCTTTCTTTCCCTTCTATTATTCTTCCTTTTCCTTTTCTTCTCTTCATTCTTCTTCATTTCAATTTCATTCTTTCCTTCATTAATTCTATAAATTTTTATCGTTTCCATCTTTTCTTCCCTTTCTCTTCTTCATTCGTTTCTTTCTTCTATCATTCTTTCCCTTCTTTCTATTCTTTCTTTTCCCTTGATCTTTCCTTTCTTTTAATTCTTTCCTTTATTATCCTTTTCACTTATTCTTTCCTATCTTTCCTTATTTTTCATTCCTTCATTTCAGCCCTATTCTTTCCTTCTTTCATTTCCATCTCTTTTCCCCCCTTCATTTATTCCATAACCTTCTATCTTTTCCTTCATTCCTTCCTTCTTTTTCATTAATCTTTCCTTCTTTCTATTCTTTCCTTTTCCATTCTTTATTCCTTTAGATCTCATTTTTTCCTTTATTTTTTCACTCCTTTATTTCCTTTCGTCTTTTCAATCTTTCTTTCTTTCCATTAATCTTTCATTTCCTTTTCCTTTGCTTCTTTCTTTCCTTTCTTTTCAATCTCATTCTTTCCTTTGTTCCATATCCTATCTTTTCCTTCCTTCTTTTCATTAATCCTTTCCTTCTTCCTAGCATTCTTTCCCTTATTTCTTTATTACCTTCCTTCTTTTAAACTCATTCTTTCCTTCCTTTCTTCATTTCCTCCTTCTATTCATCTTTCTTTTCCTTCATTTCAATCTCCTTCCTTTCTTCTCCTTTTAATCTCATTCTTTCATTTTTTCCCCTTTTCTTCTTTCCCTTCTTTCTATTACTTTCCTTCTTTTCAATCTCACTCTTTCCTTTTAATCTCATTCTTTCCTTCTTTTATTGTTTTTCCTTCCATCCTTTCTTCTCCCTTCTTTCTTTTCCTTTTCCCCCATTGTTTCCTTTTTTGTTCCTTCCTTCCATTCATCTTTCCTTCTCTCTTCTATTACTTTCCTCCTTTCCTTCCAATCTCGTTTTCCCTTCCTTTTCTCGTTTTCTCTTCCTTCCTTTTAATCTCATTCTTTCCTTCATTTATTCTAAAACCTTTTATCAGTTCTTTCCTTCCCTTTCTCTTCTTCATTCATCTTTCCTTCTCCTTCCTTTTGATCTTTCTTTCCTTCCTGATTTTTCCTTCCTTTTCAACCTCATTCTTTCCTCCCGTCCCTTTGTCTTTTTCCTTTCCTCCTTTTATTCTTTATCTTTCTTTCCTTTATTCTATAACCTATCATTTCCTTCATTCATCTATCAATCTCCTTTTATTCTTTCCCTATTATTTTTCCCTTCCTTTTTTAATCTTCCTGTCCTTTATTCTTCCTTCTCCCTATTTGATTCCTTCTTGTAATTCATTTTTCCTTTTCCTTCTTTATTTTTCTTTTCATTTACTTTTTTTCCTTCCTTTCCTTTTCCTCCTCCATTCTTTTTCCTTCCCTCCTTTTTACCTCCTTCCCTCCCTCCCTTCTTTCAAATTCATTCTTTCCCTTTTCTTCCCTTCCTTCATCTCAATCTCATTCTCTTTCCTTCCTTTCTTTTTCCTTTCAATTTCCTTCCTTTATTCTTTATTCTTTCCTTCTTTCTTTTCCATCTCAGTTTTTCCTTTCACTTCAATCCATCTTCTTACTTCTCTTCCTTCTTTCCTTTATTTATTCATTCTTTTCTTCCTTCTCTTCCTTCCTTCTTTCCTTTCAATCAGCTCCCCTTTTTATTATTTCCTTCCTTTCATTGTATCCTTTTCTTTTTCCTTTTAATCTTTCTTTCCTTCCTTCTTTTAAACTCATTCATTCTTTCCCTTCCTATTTTTCGTTCCTTCCTTCTCAACCTGTCCTTTCTTCCTTCCTTCCCTTCTTTTATTGTTTCCTTTATTCTATAACTTCTTTTTATCATTTTTCATTCTATTATTCTTTCCCTTTCCTTTTTTCTTCCTTCTTTCCTTTTGATCTCTTTGCTTTGTTCCTTTTTCATTCTTTCCTTTATTATTTCTCCTTTTATTTCTTATTCATTCACCTTTCCTTATTTTTCCTTCCTTCCTTTCAATCTCCTTCCATTCTTTCCCTTCTTCCTATTATTTCTTTCCTTTCTTCTTTACAGCCTTATTTTCTTTTTTCCCTTCGTTATCTTTTCAATCTTATTCTTTCTTTCCTTTATTTCAATCTCATTCTTTTCTTCCTTTATTCTATAACCCTCTATCATCTTCAGGAGAAATGCCTCTAGAACATGGCCATATAGCCCGAAAAAACCTACAAAAACCCACTTCTATCACTTCCTTCATTCCTTCCTTCTCTTGATTCATCTTTCTTCCTTCTTTATATCATTCTTTCCCTTCTTTCCTTTTCCATCCTTTATTCCTTTCTTTTCATTCTTTCCTTCCTTTATTCTTTCTTCCTCCTTTACACTCTTTCCTTAATTTTTTCCTTTGTTCTTTCTTTTCTTATTTGCAATCTTTCTTTCCTTTATTTCAATCTCATTCTTTCCTTCATTTATTCTATAACCTTCAATTGTTTCCCTCATTCCTTCCTTTGCTCTTCATTAATCTTTCCTTCTATTATTCTTTCCCTTCTTTCTATTCTTTTCTTTACCTTCCTTTATTCCATTCTTTTCATTCTTTCCTCTATTCTCCTACTTTTCACTTGTATTATTAACCTTTCTTTCCTTGTTTCCTTCAATTAATCTTTCCTTTTCCTTTCTTCTTTCCTTTTGATCTCATTCTTTCCTTCCTTTTTTCCAACCTTATTCATTCCCTTCTTTCCTTATTGTTTCCTTTCATTCATCTTTCAATCTCCTTCCTCTATTCTTTCCTTTTTTCCCTATCATTCTATTTCCTTTCTTTTTATTCATTCCTTTTCTTTTTTCTCCTTTTCATTCTTATTTATTTCCTTCCTTTATTTTCAATCTAATTCTTTCCTTTATCTATAACCTTCTATCTTTTCCTTCATTTTCCTTTTCTTTTCATTTTTCCTTTCTTATTCCTTTCCTTCTTTCTATTCTTTCCCTTTTCTTCCTTTATTCCTTTTGATCTCATTTCCTTCTTTTATTTCTTTCTGTTAACTTTTTTTCTTTCTTCTTTTCAACCTTTCTTTCCTTCCATTCATCTTTCCTTTTCTCCTTTTACCTTTCTTTCCTTTCGTCTTCATTTTAATTACATTCTTTTCCTTCTTTCTTTCCTTTTAATCTTACTCTTTCCTTCTGTTATTCTATAACCTTTCCTTTCTTTATTCTATTCATTCTTTCCTTGCTTCCTTCCTTCCTTCTATTCTTTCCTTATCCTTTCTATCCTTTTATTTTTCTTTCCATTCTTTTCTTCTTTCATCCTTTTCTTTTATTTCCTTTATTTTTTCTTTCCTTCCTTTTCTCCTTCCTTCCTTTCCTTCCTTCCCCTTACTTTATTTCAATCTCATTCTCTTCTTTATTTCCTTCAATCATTTCTTCCTTCCCCCCTTTTCTTTCATTTCAATCTCATTCTTTCACTTCTTTATTATTTCATTTCTTTTCTGTTTCCTTCTTTTCTTTTTAAAAAATCGCATAGAAGTCAATGCAAAAAGTCCAAAATGCACATTGATTTCCATCCTTTCTTTCTTGTTTGTTTTCCCCCATTATTTCCAAAATATTTTCCAAAAAACCACAAAAGTTCCTTTATTTCTTTCAAAAAAGTCCCTCTTTTTCCACAACAATTAATCCTTTTAGCAAGAAAAATTAAATTAAAAAATCCAAAACTAAAATAAATTGCAATTTAAAAAATCCAAAAAATGCAAAATAATGTTATTAAATCCAATAAAATAAAAAAAATGCAATATAAAATACAAAAATACAAAAAATAGTGTTATGAAATCCAAAAAAACGAATTACAATTAAACATACGAAATGTAAAAAATAAAAATTATAATTAAAAATATAAAAATAAAATAATTAAGAATGCATTCCACATGTATCTTTAATGCAAAAAATAAAAATAAATGAAAATTAAAAATTACAAATATTAAGTAAATTATCTGCAATTAAAAATAAATCCTAAATGCACCTTTAATGCAAAAAGAGATAAATTAGAATGAAAAATCCAAAAATAAAATGAACTGCAATTAAAAATCCAAAATGCAAAGAAATTAAAATTAGAATTTAATAATAATTAAATTAAAAATTGGAAAATTTAAATACATTAATTTAAAAATACCAAATGAACCTTTAATAACAAAACTCCTATTAATGAAAACAGATATTTTAAAAATAGAAAAGAAAATTAAAATTAGAACTCACAATGCAAAATAAAATATTTTAATAATCATAAATAATCTTTTTAAAAATCCAAATGCAAAATTAATTAGAATTGAAAATCCCAAAATAAATGCAAAATAAATTAAAATTAAAATCCTGAAAAAATACAAAAAAGGAAAAAAATTATATTGAATGATTTTTCCTGGCTATTATTTTGTTTATTTCTTTCCAAAAAACCCATGTAAAAATTGGCACATTTTTATTCATTTAGTTGAGGGGGGTGGGGTGTAAATACATTAAAATACATTAAAATAAGTGATTAAACCACCAAATACAGGCTCATTTGGTTTTTTTTTTCATGGAAGGAAATTATAACAAAATAATAAATTTGATATAAATATAAAGGCACAAAAATATTAAAATAAAAATAAAATAAATGCACAATATTCAATTAAAAATAAAACACAATAAAAATAAATGCACAAAATATTAAACACATAAAATAATTGCACAGTATCTAAATAAAAATAGAACATAATAAAATAAATGCACAAAATAGTAAAATAATAAATAAATTAAATGCATGAAATTAAATATTAAAATATTGATACAAAATTTTAAATTAAATGCATAAAATATTAAAATAATAAATAAAATAAAATCTTAAAAGAAAGGAAAATGTTCAAAAATATTTAAAAATATTAAAAAATAATTTTTAATTAAGATTTTTAGTTGCAAGAAAAAACAAAAAAAAATTCTTTGAAATAAATTTGTCAAAAATTGATCAAAACATATCCAAAAAACTGGTGGAAGAAAAACATCAATATTATTTTCTTCTTTTCTTGCAGAAAACCAACCGTTGTCCAAAAATATATATATTTCAAATATATATATAGATTCCCCAAAAAAGAAGAAATAAAATAAAAGATTTAAACACGAAAAAAGGTGTAGATTTATATGGAAACTTCATATTCCCTTGTTTCCTAAAAGTGAAAAAAGAGTAATTTTCAGTCAATAATAAAAAAACAATTATTTTATTATTTATTATATTTTATGTTATTTAATTAAATTAATATTAATATTTTCTGTGTTATATTACTATCAATATTTTATATTATTAATATTCCTATCAATATTTCATATTTCTATTAATATAAATGCTAATAGAGTGCTGAGAGTGCCTTGGACTGCGAGAAGATCCAACCAGTCCATCCTCCAGGAAATAAAGCCCGACTGCTCGTTGGAGGGAAGGATACTAGAGACAAAGTTGAAGTACTTTGGCCACATCATGAGGAGACAGCAAAGCCTAGAGAAGACAATGATGCTGGGGAAAGTGGAAGGCAAAAGGAAGAGGGGCCGACCAAGGGCAAGATGGATGGATGGCATCCTTGAAGTGACTGGACTGACTTTGAAGGAGCTGGGGGTGTTGACGGCCGACAGGGAGCTCTGGCGTGGGCTGGTCCATGAGGTCACGAAGAGTCGGAGGTGACTGAACGAATGAACAACATTAATATAAATATTTAACATCTCAACTGATATAAATACAAAATATTATTAATATTAAATTTTACAGTATATATATATAGTTTATAATATTTTAAATAATGTATTGTATGATAAAGACTATGTATCTGTGGCGCCCCCAAAGTTGAAAATCTGAACCACATTTTACATCAATTATTCTGCATAGAATTACGGAAAAAATAGACCCATGTCTGATCCCACAGCAAGCTGCCTTCAGAAAAGGCAGAAGCTGCACATCGCAAGTGTTGAACTTGACTCAGCACATAGAAGATGGCTTTGAAAGGCAGCAGATCACAGGAGCTGTCTTCATAGACCTGTCCGCAGCCTATGATACTGTGAACCACCGCCTCCTCCTGAGAAAAATGTATAATATCACAAAGGACGACCACCTCACCCGCCTCATAGGAAACCTGCTACAAAACAGGAGCTTTTTTGTTGAGTTCCAGGGCCAGAGAAGTAGATGGCGGAAACAGAAGAACAGCCTGCCTCAGGGGAGCGTGCTTGCTCCATCCATGTTCAACATCTACACAAATGACCAGCCACTGCCAGAAGGGACAGAGAGTTTCATCTATGCTGATGATCGTGCCATTACTGCTCAAGCAGGGAGCTTTGAGATGGTTGAACAGAAGCTTTCCGAAGCTCTAGGTGCTCTTACTGCCTATTACAGGGAAAACCAGCTGATCCCCAACCCATCTAAAACACAGACATGTGCCTTTCATCTCAAGAACAGAGAAGCATCCCGAGCTCTGAAGATCACCTGGGAAGGAATCCCACTGGAGTATTGCAGCGCACCCAAATACCTGGGATTCACTCTGGACCGTGCTCTGACCTACAAGAAGCACTGCCTGAACATCAAGCAAAAAGTGGGTGCCAGAAACAATATCATACGAAAGCTGACTGGCACAACCTGGGGATCACAACCAGATACAGTGAAGACATCTGCCCTTGCGCTGTGCTACTCTGCTGCTGAGTATGCATGCCCAGTGTGGAACACATCTCGCCACACTAAAACAGTGGATGTGGCTCTTAATGAGACATGCCGCATTATCACGGGGTGTCTGCGCCCTACACCACTGGAGAAATTACACTGCTTAGCTGGTATTGCACCACCTGACATCTGCCGGGAAGTAGCAGCCAATAGTGAAAGGACCAAGGCAGAGACATCTCCAGCTCATCCCTTGTTTGGGTATCAGCCAGCACGTCAACGACTTAAATCAAGAAATAGTTTTCTTAGATCTACAGAGACACTCGCTGGAACACCTCAGCAAGCGAGAGTTCAAAAGTGGCAGGCTCAAACCCAGCACCTCAATCCGTGGGTGACACCAGATGAGAGACTCCCCCCTGGGCACACAGAAGACTGGGCGACTTGGAAGGCGCTGAACAGACTGCGCTCTGGCACCACGAGATGCAGAGCCAACCTTCAGAAATGGGGCCACAAAGTGGAGTCCACGACATGCGAGTGTGGAGAAGAGCAAACCACTGACCACCTGCTGCAATGCAACCTGAGCCCTGCCACATGCACAATGGAGGACCTTCTTGAGGCAACACCAGAGGCACTCCAAGTGGCCAGCTACTGGTCAAAGGACATTTAATCAACTACCAAGTTTGCAAAATTTGTGTGTGTTTTTTTAATCTGTTTGTTTGTTTTGTTCTGTTAGAAATGTAACACAATGGTCTGGTTGCTGATAACACGATAAATAAATAAACCCCATTCTGACAACAAAAGTTGCCCTTTATTTGTTTAAAGCTGCTAAAAGGAGATCAGAGTACATAGATCAGATTGGGGTGCAGTGTAGGGGAGACGAGGATAGTTGATGCATATATCTACAGCTAAGCTACATTGGTTTTAAGTTGATACATTCCTATATATTTGTATTCTATTTTAATAGGACCAGAAGTATGTTGTGTTTGCACTGTGTGTTTTTGATAAGGCCAACTGGCTAATCAATAAAAATGGTTATTGTTGTATTGTATTATATATAAATGTAATAGGTTCTTGTGGGTTTTTTCGGGCTATAGAGCCATGTTCTAGAGGCATTTCTCCTGACGTTTCGCCTGCATCTATGGCAAGCATCCTCAGAGGTTGAGAAGGTCTGTTGGAAGTAGGAAAAATGGGCTTATATATCTGTGGAATGGCTGGGGTGGGGCAAGGAGCTCTTCCCTGCTGCAGTTAGGTGTGAATGTTTAGCTGATCACCTTCATTAGCATTTGAAGGCCTGCCTGAGTCTGGGAAAATCTGTTGCTGGGAGGTGTTAATCTGTGCCTGGTTTTTTCCTCTCTGTTGTTTAGCTGTTATAATTTTTGTTATAATTTTTTTAATTTTTTTATAAATGTAATGTTTTAGAATATTTATATTATAATTTATAGTATTTATGAGGAACTTAATACAAATAGTATTTTATATTATGCATATTATTCATATATTATTCATATAATAGAAATAAGTACCACCTTGCAATTTAAGATCATCCGGGGAGGCCCTGCTCTCCCTCCCGTCAACAGCAAATGCGGCTGGCGGGGATGAGGAGCAGGGCCTTCTCGGCTGTGGCCCCCCCGGCTATGGAACACACTCCCAAAGGAGGTAAGATCTGCTCCCTCTCTCCTGACCTTTAGAAAAAAAATTAAAATCATGGTTCTGGGACCAGGCCTTCGGACAATAGATTGTTTTATGGTTTTAATAACTGTTTTGATATTTGATGATGTACTGTTTTTAATATGATTTATGTTTAAAGTGTGGTTTTACTGTTGTATTGAATTTTTGCCATTATCTATCTGTAAACCGCTTTGAATCCCCCTTGGGGGGAGAAAAGCGGTATATAAATGCTGTAAATAATAATAATAATAATAATAATAATAATAATAGGTAATTCTATAAATATTTAATAATATTATTTATATTGCAGTTTATAATCTATATAAATAAAAATGTAATGTTAGTTCGTGCTACCATCAGAACTCAAAAACCACTGGGGGAATTGACACCAAATTTGGACAAAAGACACCTAACAGTCCAATTTATGTCCTCCACTCAAAAAAATTGATTTTGGCATTTGGGAATTGTCGTTGCTGGGATTTATAGTTTGCCTACAATCAAAGAGCATTCTGAACTCCACCAATGATGGAATTGGACCAAACTTAGCACACAGGGCTCCCATGACCAACAGAAAAAAATGGAAGGGTTTGGTGGACATTGACCTTGAGTTTGGGAATTATAGTTCACCCACATCAAGAGAGCACTGTGAACTCAAACAATGATGGATCTGGACCAAACTTGGCACGGATATTCCATATGCCCAAATATGAACACAGATGGAGTTTAAGGGAAATAGACCTTGACATTTGGGAGTTGTAGTTGCTGGGATTTATAGTTCACCTACAATCAAAGAGCATTCTGAACTCCACCAATGATGGAATTGAACCAAACATGGCATACAGGACTTCCATGACCAACAGAACACACTGGAAGGGTTTGGTGGCCATTGACCTTGAGTTTGGGAGTTGTAGTTCACTTACATCCAGAGAGCACTGTGGACTCAAATAATGATGGATCTGGACCAAACTTGACACAAAAATTCCATATGCCTAAATATGAACACAGATGGAGTTTGGAGGAAATAGACCTTGATATTTGGGAGTTGTTCACTACAATTAAAGAGCATTCTGAAACCCACAAACGACAGAAATGGGGCAAACTTCCCACACAGAACCCCCATGACCAACAGAAAATACTCAAGGCCATCCAGTCCAACTCTCTTCACCAGGGCAAGAAAATGTAATCAGAGCCCTCCTGACAAAGAGCCATCCAGTCATAAATATAGATAGATAGATATGATTCTCTCTCACACACACAGATATAGTGTCATAGATTTGAAAGAGATCCTTAAAGAGTAGGCAAACCAGACACTCTCCACATCAACACTGACAAAGAAACAACAAGAAATACTGTTTACTCACAAGCATAAAGGAATTACATATATTCGAAACCAACACTTTCTCATTACTTTATTTTCCAGATCACCAGACTGGGCCACAGCAACGCGTGGCAGGGGACAGCTAGTAATAATAATAATAATAATAATAATAATAATCGGTAATTCTATAAATATTTAATAATGTTATTTGTATTGCAGTTTATAATGCTATATATTATTACTAGCTCGGATCCGGCAGTGCCCAGATGAAAAAGGCATTGTTTGCTCTTGGATGTTCGGTAATATAATTTAGGTAATCTGTGCCACTATTTATTACAAAAATGCCAGTCTTTGCTTTTGTGTTACATGAATGCTCCCATTAGAAATTGCATTAGGATGTGGGTGAACTACAACTCCCAGATTCCCAGGGCAATCACCCTGAAACCCTGCCAGTATTCAGTTGGCCATGCTGGGTCTCTGTGCCAAATTTGGTCCAGGTCAGTCGTTGGCTAGATTCAGTGCTGTCTGGATACAGGTGAACTACAACTCCCAAAATCAAAGTCTATTCCCAAAACTCCTGCAGTATGTTCACTTGATCATGGGGTTTTTCTGTGTCAAGTTTGGTCCCAGTCTGTTGCATTTTTTTTCACCAAACTTCTCCAATGTGTTCTGTTGGTCATGGGGAATCTGTGTGTTAAGTTTGGTCCAAGTCCATGTGGGTCTCAGTGGTCTGTTGAACTTGGAACTGAATCAGGTGAAGGTACTGCAGATCCCATCATCTGTTATCCATCCTCCCAAAGGACGTAAAGAGGGTCATGAGGGGTTCTATGTGCCAAATTTGGTCCAGGCCCATCATTCATGAGGATCATAGTGGTCATTTGAAATTGGATCCAAAGCAGGTGAAAGTACTGCATATCCCATCATCTGTGGTCCATTCAGGACATGAAGTGTACCATGGGGAGGTCTGTGTGCCAAGTTTGGTCCAGGTCCATCATGCATGGCGGTTGCAGTGGTCTCTGGAAGTGAGTCAAGGTACTGCAAGTCCCATCATCTATTGTCCATCCTCCCCCAAACAGGACATAAAGTAGGTCATGGGGGGGGGGGTCTGTGTGCCAGGTTTGGTCCTGGGGGTCGCAGTGGTCTGTGCCTAAATGATTGAATAGTACAGATGAAGTGATTGATTGCTTTGGGAAGTTTGGTAATATCACTTAAGTTTGATCCAGATCCGTTGTCAGCTGGGTTTAGTGCTCTCTGGATATGGGTGAACTACAACTCCCAGATTCCCAGGTCAATCACCCCCGAATACCGCCTGTATGCACAGTTGGCCATGTTGGGTCTGTGTGGCAAGTTTGGTTCAGATCCGACATCGGCTGGGTTCAGTGCTCTTGATGCAGGTGAACTTCAACTCCCAGATTCTCAGGGCATCACCCGGTTCGCTAGTATATTATATATTTTAAATATATTATTTATTTAATAATAAAATAATAAAACAGTACATCATTATATCTTATGATATAGTACCAGTAGTATTATATTTTTATTATAGAATAACAGAATATATTAAATACAATGTTTTCAAATATTATAATATATTAAAACATATATATGTTGATATATATAATTATTATATTAATCATATTTAATATATTTTAATTATATTATATATTATTATATTCTCTTATTTATATGATTTCCATTGAGAGAAAGAATGGATTTCCCCCTTATATCCAATTTAAATAAAGGGAAGGGATTTGCATATTATGCGAAACGCAGAGGGCCGGATTTGCATACTTACCCCTGTTTCATAGATGGGGTTGTCGAACTCCGTTTCCACTGTGATCTGACTGTAAGGGTGTGAATAGATGAGTGGGAGGCGGAGACTCGAGTAAGAGCGGCACCTTGAGAAACAGAAAATGAGGGGTCAAGGGGGGGGGGTCAAAAGTTAGCCCCGTTCTAACCTAAAAGGCAGTCTAAATCAATTACCTTGTGATGTAGATGTAAGCACCACCCAGGAGTACAGAGACCACCAAAACAGGAAGGAAGATCGCCAGCGCCATGTTGCCGCCTTCTAAGGAAGTGGCCGCCACTGCAAAACAGGAAGTGAAGGTCTAGGAATGTTCTGGTCCCTCCTGGGCTACTCTATGATCATGTTAGTGCTATTAATATATTATTGTTATATACAATATATATAATTATTATATGATTAGAGAAATATATGGTAATAATCTAAGAATATAATAAAAATAATATATTAATATCTAATGAAAATATAATACAATACAAATAAACTGAAGATAATAATATAATGATATTAAAATTAAAAAATACCCTATGGTCACTTCAATGCAATAATAATAATAATAATAATGATAATAATAATATAATATAATATAATACAGGAAGTCGAAGCTCAGACTCACCTTCTAAGGCGCGTTCGAATGTGGCTTGATTGACTGAAAGGAAAAAAAAGGAAGTAATGATAATAATAATATAGAAAAATATTGTATTGGCCTTTCCTGTCGCAGCATCACCTCATGATAACCTTAGCGACAATGACAACTGACCTTTGCATGTGGGCAGGGGGCCACTCCACCTGGAGGGTGCCCCAGGAGTGCATTGGATGGCCACTTCCCCTTCAAGGGCGAACCCCTCGTAGCACATGAAGGTGAGTGACTCCCCTGGCAGGTACAGGCGCTTGTACAGGATCTGGTAGCCATTCTCCGGCAGGCCCGGGTTCTCACATGCCAGGGACTCCTCCGCTGAAACAAAATAGATGCCGCCAAGTCGAAGAAACACCATGCAAAAGGGCCTCTCTGAAGAAGTAGATACCCAAAATGGCTGACAAGCAAGGCCTAGAAGGCTTTCTCTTAATTGCTGGGTCTCGCTCTTCTCTTTCATATGCATGCCCACTTCCCATAGGTTCCCTGGAGCTGGTGGGTGGGGCCCAACACACGGTGAGGCCTAGAAGGCTTTCTCTTGACTGCTAAACCTTACTTCTCTATTGCTAAACCTTACTCAACTCTATTCTCCACCTTCATCGCAATGATACTTCACCTTGTTGATGGGAAGCTTCCCACCGGAGTGGAAGTCATCTATCGGACAGATGGCAAGCTGTTTAACCTCAGCAGACTGAAAGCCAAAACCAAGGTTACAACAACATCTGTTATAGAACTCCAGTATGCTGATGACAATGTTGTCTGTGTGTATTCAGAAGAAGATCTACAAGCCACTCTAAACACCTTCGCAGAAGCGTACACGAAGCTCGGCCTGTCACTGAACATCGAGAAAACCAAAGTGCTGTTCCAGCAGACACCAGCCAACCCCTCTCCAATGCCAGAGATACAGCTTAATGGTGTAATATTAGAAAATGTTGACCATTTCCGCTACCTTGGCAGCCACCTCTCCACCAAAGTCAACATCGACACCGAAATACAACACCGCCTGAGCTCTGTGAGTGCAGCATTTTCCCGAATGAAGCAGAGAGTGTTTGAGGACCGGGACATCCGTAGGGATACCAAGGTGCTTGTCTATAAAGCTATTGTCCTCCCAACCCTGCTCTATGCCTGTGAAACGTGGACTGTGTACAGACATCACATGCAACTCCTGGAACAATTCCATCAGCGCTGCCTCCGGAAAATCCTGCAAATCTCTTGGGAAGACAAGCGGACAAACGTCAGCGTGCTGGAAGAAGCAAAGACCACCAGCATTGAAGCGATGGTCCTCCGCCATCAACTCCGCTGGACCGGCCACGTTGTCCGGATGCCCGACCACCGTCTCCCAAAGCAGTTGCTCTACTCCGAACTCAAGAACGGAAAACGGAATGTTGGTGGACAGGAAAAGAGATTTAAAGGTGGGCTCAAAGCCAACCTCAAAAACTCTGGCATAGACACTGAGAACTGGGAAGCCCTGGCCCTTGAGCGCTCCAGCTGGAGGTCAGCTGTGACCAGCAGTGCTGCAGAATTTGAAGAGGCACGAGTGGAGGGTGAAAGAGAGAAACGTGCCAAGAGGAAGGCGCGTCAAGCCAACCCCGACCGGGACCGCCTTCCACCTGGAAACTATGCCTTCACTGTGGGAGAAGATGCGGGTCAAGAATAGGACTCCACAGCCACCTACAAACCCACAAAAATAGTCATCAAGGAAGACCATCTTACTCGTCCACCGAGGGATCGCCTAAGTAACTTCTCTTCAGGTTTCTACTGACTTCTAATAGGCTTTCCCATGATGGCTAGGCCTCACTTCTCTTCAGTAGCTTCCTATTCACCTTCTAATAGGCTTCCTGTTGACTCCCAATAGGCTTTCTCCAGACTGCCAGGATTCATTTCTCTTCAGCAGCTTCCTATTCATTTCTAATAGGCTTTCTATTGACTCCTAATAGGCTTTCTCCAGACTACCAGGCTTCACTTCTCTTCAGGTTTCCATTGACTTCCAATAGGCTTCCTATTGACTGCTAGGCCTCACTCCTCCCCCTTTATTTGCATGACAGTTTCCCATAGGTTCCTTGCAGCTGTTGGGCGGAGCCTAAGGCACAGGATGGCCTAGGATTTCTATTGACTGCTAAGTGTCCTCGTCATTTGCATGTTCTCTTCCCATAGGTTCCCTGTAGCTGGTGGGAGGCTTTTGCATTGACTCTCTTGAGGTCCCTCCCCTTCATTTGCATGCCTCCCTCTCATAGGACTCCTGGACTCATTGCTGAACCTGGAACCCCAGGTCTCGACGGTGGTCAGGGGAGCTTTTTCACAATTAAAGCTTGTGCGCCAGCTGCGCCTGTACCTTGGGAAGTCTGACTTGGCCACGGTGGTCCACGCTCTGGTTACATCCCATCTAGACTACTGCAACGCTCTCTACGTGGGGTTGCCTCTGAAGACTGCCCAGAAGCTTCAACTAGTCCAACGAGCGGCCGCCAGATTGCTAACAGGAGCGGGGTACAGAGATCATACGACCCCTCTGTTACACCAGCTCCACAGGCTGCCGATTAGCTTCCGTGCACAATTCAAAGTGCTGGATTTGACCTATAAAGCCCTAAACTACTCCGGCCCAGTTTACCTGCCCGAACGGATTCTCCCCTATGAACCATCAAGGTTATTAAGATCTTCCGGAGGGGCCCTGCTCTCAGTCCCACCACTTTCGCAATTGTGTTTGGTGGGGACGAGAGACAGGGCCTTCTCGGTGGTGGCTCCTCGGCTTTGGAACTCCCTCTTACTAGAGATTAGATCTGCTCCCTCCCTCCTGACCTTCAGGAAACTAATAAAGACCTGGCTTTGGAACGTGGCATTTGGGGACTGAATCTATAACCTTCGTCCTCATGGAAGGAGGGTAATGAACTGTGACTGTATTGACGACTTGGCTTGGGTAATGTGATGATGATGTTTTTACTGTACTTATATTGTAACCTGTAATGATGATGCACTGTGTTATTTTTGTATATTATTGTATTTGAACACATGTTGTGAACCGGCCTGAGTCCCTCGTTCGAGGTGAGAATATATATAAACCTTCTAAATAAATAAAATAAAATAAGGTTCCCTGTAGCCAAAGGTGGGGCCTAAAAGGACATATTTTGAGGGAAGAAAGGGTGAAGCCTCCGGAGAAAAGCACTAAAAGGCAAAAGGCGCAGGGCCTACAGCCAAAGAAGTAATAGAGGGCTTTGTATTGACTGTCAGGCCTTGAGGTCCCTACTCTCATTTGCATGCCTCTCTCCCATAGGTTCCCTGTAGCTGGGGGTGGGGTCTCGATCCTCACTTCTCTTCAGGAGCTTTCTATTGAATGTTAGGTCTCACTCCTCCTGTTCATTTGCATGCCCTCTCCCCATAGGTCACCTGTAGCTGGGGGCGGGGCCTAAGTCCAAAAGTACAGTTAGAAGGTTTTCTTCTGTCCGCTAGTCCGTACTCCTGAGGAGAAAATGCAGCCTAGTGGGCATTCTGAACCTGCTAGGCTTGTATGGGCTCCTAATGGGCTTCCTACTATCTTTTCAATAGGAGGTCTATTAGAAGTCAATAGAAAGCCTATTAGAAGTCAGTTGAAAGCTGTTAAAAAGAAGTGAGGCCTAACAGTCAAAAGAAAGCCTGTTAGGAGTCAACAGAAAGCCTATTAGAAGTCAATAGGAAGCTGTTGAAGAGACGTGAGGCCTAGCAATCAGGAGAAAACCTATTAGAAGTCAATAGACAGCCTATTTGAAGTCAATAGGAAGCCTACGAGAAATCAATAGGAAGCTGCTGAAGAGAACTAAGCCTTAGCAGTCAATAGAAAGCCTATTACGAGTCGATAGAAAACCTATTAGAAGTCAATAGGAAGCTAATGAAGAGGCCTAGCAGTCAGTAGGAAGCCTCTTAGGAGTCAACTGAAAGCCTATTAGAAGTCAATAGGAAGCTAATGAAAAGAAGTGAGGCTTAGCAGTCAGTAGGAAGCCTATTAGGAGTCAATAGAAAGCCTATTAGAAGACAGTTGAAAGCTGTTGAAGAGAAGTGAGGCCTAGCAGTCAATAGAAAGCCTATTAGCTGTCAATAGGAAGCTGAAGAGAAGTGAGGCCTAGCAGTCAATAGAAAGCCTATTACAAGTCAATAGGAAGCCTATTAGATGTCAATAGGAAGCTGCTGAAAAGAAGTGAGGCTTAGCAGTCAGTAGGAAGCCTATTAGGAGTCAATAGAAAGCCTATTAGAAGACAGTTGAAAGCTGTTGAAGAGAAGTAAGGTCTAGCAGTCAATAGAAAGCCTATTAGGAGTCAACAGAAAGCCTATTAGAAGTCAATAGGAAGCTGTTGAAGAGAAGTGAGGCCTAGTAGTCAATAGAAAGCCAGATGTCAATAGGAAGCTGCTGAAAAGAAGTGAGGCTTAGCAGTCAGTAGGAAGCCTATTAGGAGTCAATAGAAAGCCTATTAAAAAATAGGAAGCTGTTGAGAGGTGAGTCCTAGCAGTCAATAGAAAGCCAATTAGGAGTCAATAGGAAGCCTATTAGAAGTCAATAGGAAGCTGTTGAAGAGAATTGAAGCCTAGCAATCCGTAGGAAGCCTATTAGAAGTCAATAGGAAGCCTATTAGAAGACAATGTATTTTCGAAGGCTTTCATGGCTGGAATCACTAGGTTCTTGTGGGTTTTTTCGGGCTATAGGGCCATGTTGTCAGGAGAAATGCCTCTAGAACATGGCCCTATAGCCCGAAAAAACCCACAAGAACCTATTAGAAGACAGTTGAAAGCTGTTGAAGAGAAGTGAGGCCTAGCAGTCAATAGAAAGCCTATTAGGAGTTTAAAATTTGGATGTTCCGCTGTGATTAGGCAGTTTCACCAGAGAATTGGATCGATCTCGCCATAGCTCTTTGCACTTTCCTTGGCCCTCCCATCTGTAATCCTGTTACTGTAAATGCCTAAGGATGTTACCCTTCCAGCTATGACCTTAATTTGAAGCTCACCTTGCACTTTCCCTGGGCTCTGTCTAGGAACAATTGCAGTATACCACCCCCCTGTTATGTCAGCTCCACTGGCTGCTGGTCCAGTTCCGAGTACAATTCAAAGTGCTGGTCTTGACCTATAAAGCCCTATACGGTTCTGGCCCAGCTTACTTGTCCGAACGTATCTCCCCCTACGTCTCACCTCGAAACTTACGATCTCCCAGGGAGGCCCTGCTCTCGATCCCACCATTGTCGCAAAAGCGCTTTGTGGGGACGAGAGACAGGGCCTTCTCGGCGGTGGCCCCCCACCTGTAGAACTCGCTCCCCAGCAAAATTAGGTCAATGGCTTCCCTCCTTTCCTTCAGGAAAAGGTTGAAGACGTGGCTATGGGACCAGGCATTCGGATAGGCATTTGGATACCAGGCTGACAATAAAATTACGACAATGCTATGGAAAATGGACTATGGACAGGTTTCGGATTAAAAGTTGTTGATGGTAGAACTCGGACTTAGACATGGCCAACTAATTCAATTCGCACTATTTTAAATGGTGTTTAATCTAATGTTTTTATTTATTATGTAACTGTTATTTTACCTGTTTGTATATGAATTGTTGCTGCCTGTAAGCTGCCCTGAGTCCCCTTTTCGGGGGTAGAGAAGGGTGGGGTACAAATATTTGAAATAAATAAAAATAAATAAATTCCCTGATCCTTCCGCACTCAACACTTATTCTTTCAGCCACTATACTGTTTTTAAAACGCGTAACGTGATTGTAATGTTTTTCTAACGTTGCGGTTGATTTTATTTTATCTTATTTTTTAATTGTGTGTGTTTTAATCTGTATTTTTGGGCTTGTCGCCTTGTAAGCTGCCCTGAGTCTGTTTTTAAAACGCGTAACGTGATTGTAATGTTTTTCTAATGTTGCGGTTGATTTTATTTTATTTTATTTTTTAATTGTGTGTGTTTTAATCTGTATTTTTGGGCTTGTCACCTTGTAAGCTGCCCTGAGTCCCTTCGGGGAGATGGTGGCGGGGTATAGAAATATTACTATTATTGGAATTCATTAGGAAGCTGCTGGAGATAAGTGAGGCCTTGCAGTCAGGAGAAAGCCTTCTAGGCCTCACTATGCCTTCGGCCCCGCCTCCAGCTGCAGGGAACCTATGGGAAGCAGGCATGCAAATAACGGGAGGCCTGGCAGCCAGTAGAAAGCCTTGTTGGCTGTGTTAGACCCCAAGCACCAGCTGCATGGAACCTATGGGAAGAGAGGATGCAAATGAAGGTGGAGGGAGGGTGAGTGAGGCCTAGCAGTCAGGAGAAAGTCTTTCAGGACTCACTCCACCTTCATTTGCATCCCGTCTTCCCATAGGTTCCCTGCAGCCAGTGGGTGGGGCCTAGGGCAGCCTAGATTACTTTCTACTGGCTGCACTCCACCCCTTTATTTGCATATTCCCTCCCCATAGGTTTCCTGCAGCTGAGTCCAAAATTATGGCTAGAAGGCTTTCTCCTCTCTGCTAGGCCACACCCCTGAGATGAAAACGTGGCCTAGTGGGCGTTGTGCGGGGTGGGTGCCCAACTGTCTTGGAGGCCTGACTAGGAGTGGGGCCTACTCACGGACGCAGGAGGGCAGGCGGGAGGTCCAGGAAGGGGTGCCGGTCTCGCGGCTATAGCAGGTAAGGAGGGCGCTGCTGCCCTCCAGGACGAAGCCGGGCACGCAGGTGTACTGGATGGTGGTGCCCACCAGCAGGCCGGCGTCCGAGATCAGCCGCGTCGCATGCGCCACCTCCCCGGGGTCCGTACAGTACATGACTAATGCAGAGAGAGACAGAGAGAGAGGAATCCCATAGGGCATCCCTATAACATAATACATTATATACATTGTTATATTATTACTATATGGTTATATTAATATATTTTACTGTATTATATATTACTAGCTGTCCCCTGCCACGCGTTGCTGTGGCCCAGTCTGTTGATCTGGAAAATAAAATAATGAGAAAGTGTTGGTTTCTAATATATGTCATTTCTTTATGCTTGTGGGTAAATGGTATTTCTTGCCGTTTCTTTGTCAGTGTTGATGTGGAGATTGTCTGATTTACCCACTTTGGAACATGCAACATATAATTGTCCTTTTAAATCTATATTTCTCTGTGTGTGAATAATATCTATCTCTATCTATGGCTGAATGGCTCTTTGTCAGGAGGGCTTTGATTATGTTTTCTTGACCTGATGACGGGAGTTGGACTGGGTGGCCTTAAGTATTTTTTGTTGGTCATGGGGGTTCTGTGTGGGAAGTTTGCCCCAATTCTGGCGTTCGTGGGGTTCGGAATGCTCTTTGATTGTAGGTGAACTGTGAATCCCAGTGACTACAACTCCCAAATGTCAAGATCTATTTCCCCAAAACTCCATCTGTGTTCAAATTTGAGCATATTGAGTGCTTGTGCCAAGTTTGGTCCAGATCCATCATTGTTTGAGTCCACAGTGCTCTCTGGATGTAGGTGAACTTCAACTCCCAAACTCAAGGTCAATGCCCACCAAACCCTTCCAGGATTTTCTGTTGGTCATGGGAGTCCTGTGTGCCAAGTTTGCTTCAATCTCAAAAGAACCTCAAAACCTGGCTCTTCCGCTGCGCTTTTGGAGATTAACCTCATGTAAGTCGCCCCGAGTCCCCATTGGGGAGATGGTGGCGAAGTACAAATAAAGTTTATTATTATTATATTTTACTATGATATATATTATACTATTATTATATTATTATAACTATTATAATTTTATTCATATTACAATGAATAAAATAATTAACTATATTACTATATTACATTTAATGAAATAAGTATTATATTATATTATTATATTAAATTATATTATTACATTACCATATTCTTATTATTTTATATCATCATGCATATCTTCTGCTCACTCTTTTCGCAGAAGGGCGGTGGGCTGCTCCAGGCAAGGTTGGGCCCGCAGACAAGGGTTTCTGGGCCAAGGATGTCGTACCCGGGGTCACACTGGTAGGTGACCTTTGCCCCTCGTACATTGGGCTCTGCGTGGGACGTCGTCTTCCACCCATTCTGGATCTCTGGCAGGTCCGGGCATGAGTCATTATGGGGCACCTCTGGTGGAAAGAAAGGGAGAGAAAACAATAACCAGTAACTGATTGATGACCAATACTCGACTGCTCAATAATCAATCAATAACCAATAACTGACTGATCAATAAGCAATAATGGATTGACTAATAACCAATAATTTATTGTATCAGAAACCAATAACCGATCGATCCATAACCAATAATCAATCCACCAAGAATCAATAACTGATCAACAACCTAAAATTGATCGATCAATAATGGATCACTCAATCACCAATAATAGATCCATCAATAACCTATAATCGATCAATCAGTAAGCAATAATGGATCTATCAATAACAATAATTGACTGATCAATAACCAATTAATCGATTGATCAATAACCAATTCATCAATAACCTATCGACCAATAACCAGTAGTCAGCCAATAACCGATTGATGAATAACTCGTAACTTATTGACCAGTAACCAATTATAGATAAATCAATTTGACACAAAATAAATCAATAATCAATAATTGATTGATTCATAACCATTAGGTAAATGTTTTCCCCTGACATTAAGTCCAGTCATGTCCGACTCTGGGGGTTGGTGCTCATCTCCATTTCTAAGCCGAAGAACTGGCGTTGCCTGTAGACACCTCCGAGGGCATGACTGCATGTAGTGCGATTACCTTCCTGCATATTAATACACTATAAAATGTATAAAATCAAATATAAAATATAATATATATAACAAAATACTAAAAATAATACAAAAATGAATAAGATATAAAATAACCAGTAGATCAATAACCAATAATTTATTGCTAACCAATAACGGATCATTCAATAATCAATAAAAATAAAACAATAATAAATGTAATAAAATATAAAATAACCAGTCGATCAATAACCAATATTTGATCAGAATCCAATAATCAATCAATAACCAATATCTGATCATTCAATAACCAATAACAATAAAATAATAATAATTTAATAAAATATATAATAACAAGTTGATAGCCAATAATTGATCAGAATCCAATGATCGATCAATAACCAATAACTGATCACTCAGTAACCAACAATCGACAGACCAATAACCAAAAGCCAATCAATAACCAATAACCGATCGATAATATCCCAAGTGACTGACCAGTGTAGGTGAGGATGAATGCCTTGTGGGCAGGGCCTGGGTCGGAGTGGAACTGAACGGTGAGGTCGGGTGAAGACGTGTAAAGCCTCTGTGACCCCGGCGGGGACGACCCCAGGAAGTGGCCCAGGGGGCGGGACCCCAGGTCATCCCCATCAAAGATCAACAGCAGGTCGCTCCCGCTCAAGTTCAACCTACCAGAAAGAGAGGGAGAGACGGGAACAGGAAATGGCATTGGCTGCTGGATGAGTGAGGAAATGCAGGCTTGGGATAGATAATAATATATTAAATATAAAATATAAATAAAATGCAATATATAATATAATATAATATAATAATATAGTAAGTAATACTATATATACACACACACACACACACACACATATATACATACACACATCATTGGCAACAGCACAGACACCAACTAGATAGGAGAGAAATAGCAAGGAAATGCATTGGGAAAACCAATTAGCAGCATAGACACCTGTTTGACGAGTGAGGAAATGCAGGCTTAGGATAGACGCTGATAATAATATAATAAATATAGTATATCATTATTATTTTATCTATATTATATAATAATTATTAACATATTATCTATCTTATATTATCAACATTTTACCTAAATTATATAATTATTAATTATTATATCTATATTACATCATTGTTTGATTTATTATTTTATGTATTATTAATAATTATTATTTATCAATATTATATAATTATTAGTATTATTTTATATATTATTTTATGTATCACATATAATAATTTTATCTATATTATATCATTTATTTTTATTATTGTATCTATATTATATAATTATTAATTAATTAATATTTTTATTATTATATCTATATTATATAATTATATAATTATTATATCTATATTACATCATTGTTTGATTTATTATTGTATGTATCATTAATAATAATTTATCAATATTATATAATTATTCGTATTCTTTTATATATTATTTTATGTATCGCATATCATTATTTTATCTATATTATATAATTTATTTTTATTATTGTATCTATATTATATAATTATTAATTACTATTATTATTATTGTATCTATATTATATAATTATATAATTATTAATTATTATATCTATATTACATCATTGTTTGATTTATTATTTTATGTATCATTAATAATTATTATTTATCAATATTATATAATTATTAGTATTATTTTATATATTATTTTATGTATCACATATCATTATTTTATCTATATTATATAATTTATTTTTATTATTTCATCTATAGTATATCATTATTATTAATTAATTAATTAATTATTATTATTATTGATCTATATTATATAATTATTTTTATCTCTATTCTAAATCTACAAGTCCTCCTGTTCTGGATTGGAGCCTTCTCTAGGCCCCAAAAGGAAGTCAACTCTATGGCACAAAATAGCGCCCTCCTCACAGCTGAATGTCAAGTCGAACTCTCCTCTCCAGAGAGACGTGAATCCTCCAGATGCAGCCCCGCCCCCTCTCCGCAACAGGATTGGATGAGGAGGAGAAGGAGGGGGCGGGGTAAAAGGGCTCTTCCGGCCAATCGGGAGGCAGGATCACCCCAGAGCCGCCCGTCAGCTCACCACCACAGGAGGCTGCAAGACAGAACATAGGAAAGAATAATAAGAACAAATAAAATAATACTACATAATATTAAATAACATGCAATAACATTATAATATATATAATATTAAATGAACATAATATAATAAATATATAATAAAAGTATTACATAATATAATGCATAATATTAAACATACAGTAACATAATAATAATATCCATAATCTATGTGTATCTATCTATATCTTCTATATATAATAAAAGTCAATGTTTGTATGTATGTGGATATGTTTGTATGTAGCAGCTTTCTGATTGGCTCCTACTTCCACAGGCCACTGCGACCGGCTTGAGTGCTAAAATACATAAAATTAAATATACAACATATCCATATAATATAAATTATAATAAAGTATGACAAAATATAATACTAAAATATAAAAAACAATACTAATAAAATATTAAAGTATATATATTATATAATATATAAATTATAATAAAATTAAAATGCTAAAATATTGTAATACAAAATATAATATATAAAATTAAAATAAAATATATAATAACGTGTAATAATAATATATAATGTACTCGCCTCTGCAGAGGGGCTCGGTGTCATTCCAGTGCGGTTCGCGGAGGTTGACACACTGGATGGAGGCGGGGCCTTGCTCGAGGTCGTGACCCGGGTAACAGGTGAACTCCACCACCGCCCCTAGGTCAAAGGTGGGATCCGAGGTCGTGAAGTTCCCGTTCTGGATGAAAGGCTCGTAGCAGTGGCCGCGCTCAAAGGCTAAAGGAGAGATAGAGAGGTATTTTTAATATTATACATACTTACTATTATTAGCTTGGGGACCCAGCGATGCCCAGGTTATTTGGAAAAGACATTTGGTGTGGGTGAACTACAATTCCAAGAATCATGGATCAATCATCCCCAAACCCTACCTGTATTCACAGTTGGCCATTTTGGGTCTGTGTGCCAAGTTTGGGCCAGGCACATCATCATCTGGCTGTAGTGCTCTCTGTATTCATAATTGGTTGTGTTGGTTCTGGGTGCCAAGATTGGTCCAGATCTGTTGTCAGTTGGGCTTCATTCTCTCTGGATGAGGGTGAACTACAACTCCCAGATTCCCAGGCCAATCTTCCCGCAACACCTGTCAGTATTCACAGTTGGCTGTGTTGAGTTTTTGTGCCAAGTTTGGGCCAGATCTGTCGATGTCTGGGTTCAGTGCTCTCTGGATGCAGGTGAACTACAACTTCCAAAATCAATGTCAATTCCCCGCAATCCCTGCAGTATGTTCAGTTGCTCACGGTGCTTCTCTGTGCCAAGTTTGGTCCAGGTTCATTGTCCGTGAGGGTCACTGTTTCTCTGGATGCAGGTGAACTATAACTCCCTTTCCCCCAAACTTCTCCCGTTGGTCATTGTGCTTTTCTGTGCCAAGCTTGGTCCAGGTTCATTGTCTGTGAGGGTCACTGTTTCTCTGGATGCAGGTGAACTATAACTCCCTTTCCCCCAAATTTCTCCTGTTGGTCATGGGGCTTCTCTGTGCCAAGTTTGGTCCCGGTCAATTGTCGAGGGGGCACTGTTTATCTGGACACAAGTGAACTACAACTTCCCAAATCAAGGTCAACACCCTCCCCACCCTCCAAACCTCTGCAGTATGTTCAGTTGGTCACGGAGATTCTCTGTGCCAATTTTGGTCCCAGCCCATCATCGGTGGGGTTCAGAGTGCTCTTTGATTACAGATGAACTATAAATCCCAGTAACTACAACTAACAAATATCAAGGTCAATTCCACCCCAAATCCACCATAATTCAAATTTGGTTATATTGGGTATGTGTGCCAAATATGGCCCAGATTCATTGTTTACATTTACAGTGCTCTCTGGATGTAGGTGAACTACAACTCCTATAAATCCCTCCAAAGACCTCCAGCGTTTTTTCTTGGTCATGGGGGTTCTGTGTGCCAAGTTAGTTCCAGGTCCTTCATTGATGAGGTCCAGACAGCTCTTTGATTGCAGGCGAACTATAAATCCCAGTACCTATAGCAGCTATAAATCTAGGTGAATTCCCCCCACATACACATTCTGAACTCCACCAACGATGGAATTGAACCAAACTTGGCACACAGAACTCCAATGACCAACAGAAAATACTGGAAGGATTTGGTGGGCACTGGCCTTGAGTTTGGGAGTTGTAGTTCACCTACATCCAGAGAGCACTGTGGACTCAAACAATGATGGATCTGGACCAAACTTGGCATGGATATGCAATATGCCCAAATGTGAACACTGGTGGAGTGTGGGGAAAATAGATCTTGACATTTGGGAGTTGTCTTTGCTGGGATTTATAGTTCATCTACAATCAAAGAGCATTCTGAACCCCACCAATGATAGAACTTCCCACACAGAACCCCCATGTCTTGAAGGGACTTGCTGGTGTGAGCCTCCCTCCAGCTTCACTCTCTCTCCCTCGCCCGCACATGCACACCACACTGCCAGTCTAAAAAAGGTCTGAAAAACTCAGCTTATACTCGAGTATATACGGTAATAATAGACAATCTCATAATGACCTTCGAAGTGGATGTTGAAAACAGGGTTTCCTGTTTCTCCTTCCTGTTCTCCATTGGATTGGAAGAATATGAGGGTGAGAGCGTCGCCTTGGCTGATCAGCCCCTCAAAGGGAATCATGGGATTGTTTGCTGAGTCAAAGATCAGCGAAGAGGAGGAGGAGTTCCCATCAAAAACCTGCAGCCTGCAGAATAAGAGAAATAATGGTGATCATTATTATTATCTACTAGCTGTCCCCTGCCACGCGTTGCTGTGGCCCAGTCTGGTGATCTGGAAAATAAAGTAATGAGAAAGTGTTGGTTTCTAATATATGTAATTCCTTTCTGCTTGTGAGTAAACAGTATTTCTTGTTGTTTCTTTGTCAATGTTGATGTGGAGATTGTCTGATTTGCCTACTCTGGAATATGCAACATATCATAGTCCTTCTTTAAGGGTCTCTTTCAAATCTGTGATACTATATCTGTGTGTGTCTGTAAATCATATCTATCTATCCCTATCCCTGGCTGGATGGCTCTTTGTCAGGAGGGCTTTGATTACGTTTTCTTGCCCTGATGAAGGGAGTTGGACTGGATGGCCTTAAGTATTATCTGTTGGTCATGGGGATTCTGTGTGGGAAGTTTGCCCCAATTCTGTCATTCGTGGGGTTCAGAATGCTCTTTTATTGTAGGTGAACTACAAATCCCAGTAACTACAATTCCCAAATGTCAAGGTCTATTTTCTCCAAAGTCCATCTGTGTTCATATTTGGGCATATGGAACATTTGTGTCAAGTTTGGTCCAGATCCATCATTGTTTGAGTCCACAGTGCTCTCTGGATGTGGGTGAACTACAACTCCCAAACTCAAGGTCAATGCCCACCAAACTCTTCCAGTGTGTTCTGTTGGTCATGGAAGTCCTGTATGCCATGTTTGGTTGAATTCCATCATTGGTGGAGTTTAGAATGCTCTTTGATTGTAGGCGAACTATAAATCCCAGCAACCACAACTCCCAAATGTCAAGGTCTATTTCCATTAAACTCCATCTGTGTTCATATTTGGGCATATGGAATATTTGTGCCAAGTTTGGTCCAGATCCATCATTGTTTGAGTCCACAGTGCTCTCTGGATGTGGGTGAACTACAATTCCCAAACTCAAGGTCAATGTCCACCAAACCCTTCCAGGTTTTTCTGTTAGTCATGGGAGCCCTGTGTGCTAAGTTTGGCCCAATTCCATCATTGGTGGAGTTCAGAATGCTCTTTGATTGTAGGTAAACTATAAATCCCAGCAACGACAATTCCCAGACTGGGTCAGAGCAACGCGTGGCAGGGGACAGCTAGTTATTAAATATATATTATCATTATCAAATTTATTATTATTAAATCATAGAATCCTAGAGTTGGAATAGACCTCGTGGACCATCCAGTCCAACCCCATTCTGCCAAGAAGCAGGAAAATTGTATTCAAAGCACCCCCGAGAGATGGCCATCCAGCCTGTTTAAAAGTTTTGAAATATTATTACATTAAATTAAACATATTATTATTAAATACATTATTAAATATACAATAATTATTACATATATTATTAAATATAATTATTACTATTACTATTACTAATTATATTACTACTATTAAATAATAATATAATTACTATTAAATATTATTATTAAATAAGGTATTAAATATTATGTTACATATATTATTTTAAATATATTATTACATATTTTAAATATACTATTATAAATGTATTATTACTATTAAATATATTATTAGATATTATTAAATACGTTACTAAACACATTATTATTAAATATTAATTATATTGTTATTTTAAATATATTATTACATACATTATGAAATACATTATTAATAAAGATATTATGTAATATTATTATTTATTCATTCATTACCTCTGCCCTCTGCTTGGCTGCAGGGCCATTTTCTCAAAGTGGAGGTGCAGCTTCTGCCCTGCTTTTGGGGCCATGATGCTCCATTCGCAGCTCATGTTGTTCACCATTTGCGTTGGAGACAAGATCCGACCCACAGTTGCGTTGCGCACCAGGCCCCCGCATGGAGCTGTAGAAAGAAATGGAAAATGTAAGCCTTTTACACAAGCACGTGCAAAAAGGTGTACACCTCGCACAAGAAAGTACAAAAGTGAAAGAACCATATGAGTGCACTACAATGTTATCTTTGCACAAGTGAGTGCAAAGGTGAAAACATGCAATAGTGTAAGAACGGCATGAGAACTTTCAGCCAGTTTCCAATCTCCCCTTTTTGTGCAAAGTCCTGGAACATGTGGTTGCCTCACAACTCCAGGTGTTCTTGGAAGACACTATCTAGTCCCAGCGAAGTCTGGCTTTTGGCCAGGACATGGTACCGAGACAGCCTTGGTCGCCTTAGTAGATGATTTACGCTGGGAGCTAGACGGGGGAGTGTGTCCCTGTTGGTTCTACTGGGCCTCTCAGCGGCCTTCGATACCATTGCCCACAATATCCCTCTGGGGCTCCTCACGGGAATGGGACTCGGAGGTACTGTTCTGCAGTGGCTCCGGTCCTTCCTGGAGGGACGTTCCCAGGTGTTGCTGAGGGACACCTGCTCAGGGATCAGTATTGTCCCCCATGTTGTTTAACATTTACATGAAGCCGCTGGGAGAGATCATCCGGAGTTTTGGAGTTCGATGTCATCTGTGCACAGATGATGTTCAGCTTTACCACTCTCCCACCTGCTGCTAAGGAAGCTGTTCAGGTCCTGAACCAGTGCTTGGCAGCTGTGACAGTCTGGATGAGGGCGAACAAATTGAAATTGAATCCAGACAAGACAGAGGTCCTCCTGGTCAGTTGAAAGGCTGAACACGGCATAGGGTTGCAGCCTGTGTTGGATGGAAGGGGTTACATTCCACCTGAAGACATGGGTTTGCAGCTTGGGAGTTCTCCTGGACTCATTGCCGAGCCTGGAACCCCAGGACTGAAACATAGCTGTAGGAGACCTCCCATGGTTCCTGGGATACGTGCCTCCTAGGCGGCCAAGGAAACTGGGGATGTGTATACAGGACAATCCCGTGGAGGCCTAACAGTCCTGGGGTGGCTCCGGGGGAGGGCAGTCCCTGTGAGGTGTGGCTCACCCCAAGAGGGAGCAGATCCGGCCCACAATCGCAGTAGGAGTGGCTGAGCACGAAGTCGTGGTCTCGGTCCTGTGTCTCCGGGACCACACTTCCGACCTCACTGGGGCGAGGATAGGGAGGGCATGGCGTTGGTCCGTTGCAGGGGGTGGGCTGTCTTCAGAGAAAGCAGGGCCACACCCTCGGTGAATGTGATGTCCCAGCATGGGTAGCTCTTGCTGGAAGGAAGCTGCAGCCACGGCATCGAGCAGCATGGCTAGGGTGGCCTCCACTGAAGCTGGTCTGTGCTTCTTCTACTTCTTCTTCCCCTCCTGGGAGGCTAGCTGAAGAGCCAAATGGCCCCCAGGGGACTCCGACTGACTGAGAAACTCATTTGCTCGACTAGGTGTGAAGCTCCTTTACACGACTGCCATTTGCATGGCTGGTTTACGTCCCTTACCTGTGCAGAGGGGCTGGGGTGCACTCCAATAGGGGCGGGAGGCATTGGTGCAAATGGTGACGGCGGGCCCCTCGACCTCGTAGCCCAGGTGGCAATGGAAGCGGGCCACTCCACCTGGGTGCAGACTCAGCACCGTCACCTCCCCGTGCTCTGGCCGCCGGGGGAAGCTGCAGCTCAGCACAAACACTGCAAAATAAATAATGAGTGTTAAAACTCCACAGTGTGGACGCACTGCTATTTTTTCACTATTATTTCCACAAGAATCTGTCCACCAGGACCAATATTGGTGTGGCTTAAACTCTGCCGGTGCGGATGCACAGTTATAGTTCACTATCATTTTCACATGCATATACACTGCTTATTTTCACTCATACTATTTTCACAAGAATCCATCTATCAGGAGTGGGGTCAATGTGGGTTAACTCTCGACGGTGCTGCCACACAACTATTTTCACTATTATGTTCGCCTGTGTTATTTTCACAAGAATCCATCCACCAGGAGTGGTATCAATGTGAGTACAGGTTATTTTCACAGGTATTGTTTTTGTTGGAGCATGCAAGGAATCAATGAGTGTGTGTGTGTCATGAGCTGCTGAAGAAGTTTATCCACATGGACAAAGGACTATTTTGAATTTCTCATAAAAGGACATTATGTGAGTTGATGCAACTGACCACATTGTACATATGTTGTTCTGGATTTACGAAGAGTAAACTACTTGTTCTTCATCGTTCACCTGCATGGTATTTTCTTTCTCTGGCAAGGCAGTGTGTCACCTGATCAAATGTGAACCACACATGGTTTATTTTACATTACGCCACAGTTTTTGCACATATTGCTTTCACTCTTACTTTCACACATATTACTTTCACAGGAATCCATCCATCAGGAGCTTTACCAATGTGCTTTACCTACGTGAAGGCACATCTATTTTCAGTATTATTTTCACACTTAATGTTTTCACTATTATTCTCACATGTATGATTTTCACAAGAATCCATCCACCAGGAGTGGTATTGATGTAGATTGAACTCCCAAGAGTGCAGGCACACGACTATTTTTTTCACCACAAGTATTATTTTCACAAGAATCCATGAATCCAAAGCACTATCAATGTGGGTTAATGTGCAAATGCACAACTTTTTTCAATATTATTTTCACAGGCATTATTTTCACAAGTACCTATCTATCAGGAGCTGTGTCGATGTGGGTTAAACACTGGTGGTGCAGACGGACAACTATTTTCACATGTATTATTTTCACAAGAACCCATCCATCACGAGCAGTATCAATGTGAGTTAAACTCTGACAGTGCGAACACATGACTATTTTCACTATTATTTCCACAATGGCTGTTTCCACTGTTACTTCAACAAGTATTATTTGCGCAATATTCCATTGGTCCAAGGCTGTATTGATGCAGTTGAACTCCTGATGGTGCAACTGCACTGCTATTTTGCACTATTATTTTCACACTCATAGTGCACTATAGTTTTCACAAGACCCCCACCAATCAAGAGCGGTATCAAAGCGGGTTGAACTCCTGGCAGTGTGGACACACAGCTATTATTCTCACTATTATTTTCACACATACACTATAGTTTTCACAAGAACTCACCAATCAGTGTGGGAGTGTGGACTGAACTCCTGCCAACATGGATTCACAACTTTTCACTATTTTTTCCCACATTTTTTCACTACTATTTTCACACTCTTATTTTTGCTCACACACACACACACACACACACAATATTACCTTGGTAGTGGAGCTGGAAGGTGCCCATGGCATCATCTGGGAAGGTCCGGAAGAAGACAGAGATGGTGTTGGTCAAGCTGCGGATGACCTGGCCTTCTACCAACAGGCTCTGGTTGGCCAGCACTGCCCAGCGGTCAGCAGCAGGTGCCCACCCGCCGATGGACAGCACCTCTCCCTCCGACAGGTTCACGCTCTTCACCTGGTGATGACGATGATAATAATAATAATATAGTAGAATATATAATAACAATATTGAATATTGAATAAAATAATATAATAATATTAACTACAATAATAATCTATCTATACACATAATAAAAGTGAAAATGTGTGTAGGTGGCAGAGGTGTCCACTTACACAGACAGCCTCCGGCCTCCACAAACAGGCTCTAGTTCCAAGTGCTGAGAAGCCTCCAAAGGCACTCCTTCAACTCACATTGCAGGCTAGAGTGATGCTGGATGACGGGACTCACTTCTTTAGAGCACTGTGGCCCACACCAATGATGGATCAGGACCAAACTTGGCACACAGATGCAGTTCTAAGGGGGATGGACCATGGATGATAGGACTTGCAATATCTTTACTCACTTACTGAAACCACTGCGACCCTGATCAAGACCAAACTTGGCACACAGAGCCCCCATGACCCACTCTACATCCTACTGCAGTTTGGAGGATGGTGGACCATGGATGATGGGAATTGCAGTAACTTTACTCACTTACTGAAACCACTGTGACCCTGATCCAATGACTGATCACGACCAAACTTGGCACACAGAACCCCCATGACCCACTCTACATCCTACTGCAGTTTGGAGGAGAGTGGACCATGGATGATGGGACTTGCAGTACCTTTACTCACTTACTGAAACCACTGCGACCCTGATCAATGACTGATCAAGACCAAACTTGGCACACAGAGCCCCCATGACCCTATCTACATCCTGCTGCAGTTTGGAGGAGGGTGGAACATGGATGATGGGAATTGCAGTACCTTCACTCCTGAAATCACAGCGACACTCATCCAAATACCAATAAAGACAAATCTTGGCACAGAGAGCCCCCATGGCCAACTCAACATTCTGGTGAGGTTTGGGGGAGAACAGACTATGGACGATGGGACTCTCATGACCCACTTTACACCCTGGTGTAGTTTGGCCGGGGATGGACCATGGATTATGGGACTTGCAGTACCTTTGCTCAATTCCTGAGACCACTGCAACCCTCATCCAATTACTGATAAAGACCAAACTTGGCACACTGAGTCTCCATGACGCACTCTACATCATGCTGCGGTTTGGAGGAGGGTGCACCATGGACGATGGGACTTGCAATACCTGCACTACCTTCCTGAGACCATTACAACTGCCAACAATGATGGATCAGGACCACAATTCACAGAGAGACCACAGATCCCACTCTACATCCTGGTGCAGTTTGGAAGAATTTGGAGATGGATGATGGGACTTGCAGTAACTTCACTTCCTGAGATAACTGAGACCCTCACCAATGACTGATCAAGACCAAACTCGACACACAGAGCCCCCATGACCCACTCTACATCCTGGTGCACTTTCGAGGAGGACCGACCATGGATGATGGGATTACAAGTACTGTCACTCACTTCGCAAGACTGCTGTAACCCTCATCCAATGACCGATCAAGACCAAACTTGACACACAGAGCCCCCATGAGCCACTCTACATCCCGGTGCTTTTTGGAGGAGGACGGACGATGGATGACAGGACTTGCAGTACCATCACTCACTTCCTGAGACCACAGCAACACTCCTCCAAATACCAATAAAAACCAAACTTGGCACAGAGAGCCCACATAGACAACTCAACATTCTGGTGAGGTTTGGAGGAGAACAGACTATGGATGATGGGACTTCAAGTACCTCCACTCACTTCCCAGGACTGCTGCAACCCTCATCCAATGACTGATCAAGACCAAACTTGGCACACAGAGCCCCCATGACCCACTCTCCATCCTGGTGCAATTTGGAGGAGGATGGACCACAGATGATGGGACTCGCAGTACCTTCACTAACTTCCTGAGACCACTGTGAGCGATATAAATAACTGATAAAGACCAACCTGGATACACAATTCCTTTCTCAAATAACCCAGGCAGCGTCGGGTCCCCAAGCTAGTATATAATAAAAGTCAATGTTCGTATGTATGTATGTATGTGGAGGGTGGCGGGCAGTGTATGTGGCACTTTCTGATTGGCTGCCACTTCCACAGGCCACTGCAATCTCCATAAATAACTGGCACACAAACCCCCCATGACCCACTCTACATCCCGGTGCAGTACCTTCACCCACTTCCTGAGACCACTGCGACCCTCTCCAATGATTGATCAAGGCCAAACTTGGCACACAGTGCCCCCATGATCCACTCTACACCCTGGTCCTGCTTGGAGGAGGATCGACCAGAGGGTATGGGACATGCAGTACCTTCACTCACTACCTGAAACCACTGTGACGAAAATCAATGACAGATCAGGACCAAACCTGGCACACAGACCCCCCCCCCCGATCCATTTTATGTCCTGTTGGTATTTGAGGGAAGATGGACCATGGAGGATGGGATTTGCAGTACCTTCACTCATTTGAAAGACCACTGCAACCCACACCAATAACAGAACAGGACCAAACTTGGCACATAGAGCCCCCATGACCCACTCTACATTTTGGTGCAGTTTGGAAGTGTACGGACCATGGATGATGGGACTTGTAATATCCTCACTCCCTTCTTGAGACCACTGCGACCCACACCGATGACTGATGAAGATCAAACTTGGCACACAGAGCCCCCATGATGAACTCTATGTCTGGTGTGGTTTGTGGAATAACCGACCATGGACAATGGGACTTGCAGTACCTTTACTCACTTTCAGAGACCACTGCGACCCACACCAAAGACTGATCAAGACCTACCTTGGAACACAGATCCCCCATGACCCACTCTAAATCCTGATGCAGTAGGGAGGAGGATGGACCATCTAAAATGGGACTTGCATATGGGATTTGTAGTTCACCCACATCCACTGAACCTCCTGACACTGGATCTAGACCCAATTTGGATCACAGACAAGCAATGCTTTTCTCAAATAACCCCAAGCTAATAATAATATAAATAACAATAATAATACTGACCTGGAGTTCAACCCCGTAACCGGTGTAGACGGTGACGTTGTAGGTACACTCTAGGAATTCGCCCCGGAGCAGCGGAGGGTAGTCCCCCGAGTCAATATACCCTTCCGGGTCAAAGAAGTTGACTCCACAATGACCTGGAAGGAAGGAAGGAATCACCATAGAGTTGGCCGTCTGCATTCCTTAAGGAAGCGCCCACCATAAAGCCGTGTTGGTGATTCCTAGTGAGATCTCCTGGAGTTTTGTTCAAGGGAATTCCTATTATTATTATTATTATTATTATTATTATTATTATTACTATTATTATTATTATTATTATTATTATCTTAAAGGATTATATAATATACTAATAATGGAAAATAATAATTATAATGCATAATATTATAATATAATATAATATAATATAGATAATATAGATTGCTTACTTTGTGTTGCTTCCGCCTGGAAGGCAGTGGTGGTTGTGGCCCCGCCCCCTTCCTCCTTAAGCCCCTCCCCTTCCAGCTCATGAGGGGGAGGGGGCGGGGAGATCTGGAGCAGCCAGGGCCGTGTCACTTCCTGTCCCACCTCCTCTGTTTGATTAGTAGGAAGAAACTCCTCCAAGAAATAGGCTTCTCCTGAAAAGAGGAGGCAGAATAATTACTTAATAATTATAAGGTAATAATAATATTGTAATACAATATGAAATGATAACAAAATAGTAAAATGACTAGATATAAAATATGTATAATATAATAATAAATATATGCAATAAAATAGTAATGATATAATATAAAATAACATGTACTATAATAGAATAATGGGGAGTCCCTGGTGGCTCAGTGGGTTAAAGCAGGACCAAGGCAGAGACATCACCAGCTCATCCCGTTTGGGTATCAGCCAGCACGTCAACGACTTAAATCAAGACATAGTTTTCTTAGATCTACAGAGACACTTGCTGGAACACCCCAGCAAGCGAGAGTCAAAAAGTGGCAGGCCCAAACCCAGCACCTCAATTCATGGGTGATACCAGATGAGAGACTCCCCCCCGGGCACTCAGAAGACTGGGCGACTTGGAAGGCGCTGAACAGACTGTGCTCTGGCACCACGAGATGCAGAGCTAACCTTCAGAAATGGGGATACAGGGTGGAATCCTCGGCATGCGAGTGCGGAGAAGAGCAAACCACTGACCACCTGCTGCAATGCACCCTGAGCCCTGCCACATGCACAATGGAGGACCTTCTTGCGGCAACCCCAGAGGCACTCCAAGTGGCCAGATACTGGTCAAAGGATATTTAACCAAATACCAAATCTGCAAAATCTCTGTGTTTTTCCCCCCTTTTTTTCCTTTTTCTTTTTAATCTGTGTGTTTGTTTTGCTCTGTTAGAATTGTAATACAATGGTTGCTGATGACACGATAAATAAATAGTGGGTTGAAGTGCTGAGCTGCTGAGCTTGTTGACTGAAAGGTCGCAGGTTCGAATCCGGGTAGCGGTGTGAGCTTCCGCTGTCAGCCCCAGCTTCAGCCAACCTAGCAGTTCGAAAACATGCAAATGTGAGTAGATCAATAGTTACCACTCCGGCGGGAAGGTAACGGCACTCCATGCAGTCATGCCGGCCACATGACCTTGGAGGTGTCTACGAACAAGGCCGGCTCTTCGGCTTAGAAATGGAGATAAGCACCACACCCCAGAGTTGGACACGACTGGACTTAATGTCAGGGGAAAACGGTGGTCCACGCTTTGGTTACATCCCGTTTAGATTACTGCAACGCTCTCTACGTGGGGTTGCCTCTGAAGACTGCCCGGAAGCTGCAGCTAGTCCAACGCTCGGCAGCCAGATTGCTAACGGGTGCTGGGTACAGGGAGCATACGACTCTCTGTTACGCCAGCTCCACTGGCTGCCGATTAGCTTCCGAGCACAATTCAAAGTGCTGGCTTTGACCTACAAAGCCCTAAACGCCTCTGGCCCTGTTTACCTCTCCGAACGGATTCTCCCCTACGAACCATCAAGGTCTTTAAGATCTTCCGGGGCTCTCGATCCCACCACTGTCACAATCGCGGTTGGTGGGGACAAGAGAGACAGGGCCTTCTCGATGGTGGCTCCCCGGCTTTGGAACTCCCTCCCACAGATTAGAACTGCTCCCTCCCTCCTGACGTTCAGGAAGCTAACAAAGACTTGGCTATGGAATGCGGCCTTTGATAACTGAGTCAACTTTGGTCCACATGGAAGGAGAATGAATAACTGTGAATTATGACCAGGAATGCTTTGACGACATGGCTATGGGATTGTGTTGATGACGATGTTGTATTGTAATATGTTTTTAATTGTGTAATGATGATGCATTGTGTGGTTTGTATTTTTGTATATGAACACATGTTGTGAACCGGATCTGAGTCCCTCCTGGAGGTGAGAAGATCGGTATAGAAAACTTTCAAATAAATAAATAAATAAATAAATAAAAACCTTTACCTTTACTTTATAATAGAATAATATAAAAGTAATATACTGATATAAAATAATATTATATATGACAAATTATTCTTATGCTTATATATTTAAGAATACATTTAATATCACATTTAATATTACATTTAATAATAAATCTAATGGAAATAATACATTTAATGAAAATAATATTAGACCAGGAGCCCAATAATAATGATGATAATAATAATAATAAATTATAGTAATAAGCAATTATTTAAGAATGATACTCTAATATTTTATTTATTTATTTATTTACAGTATTTATATTCCACTCTCCTCACCCCGAAAGGGGCTCAGGGCAGATCACAGAACACATACATGGCAAACATTCAATGCCGTTATACACTGACAAGACAGAGAAGTGTGCATAGATAGAGGTATATCTAGGCTTTCCAATCTTCAGCATCATGGAGGCTGCGCTTGGTTCCAGCCACAGGAGAGTGCTGTCACTCCATCTTCCCTGTCGAAGAGCTTTGTTTGTAACTTCCTCCTTGACTGAATCGTCAGCATTTCCTTATGGGTGCCTTAAATATCTATTTACTCACGTTTGATGTCGAACCACTAGGTAGGCAGAAGCTGGGCTAAAGGTCAGAAGCTCACCCTGACCCAGGCTTTGAACTGTCAACCTGCAGCTAGGTGATAATTTACTGGAAGGCTAGGTGATAATTAGAAGTCCAAATATAATAATAACAACAACAATAACAAGAATTTTAATAATACAAAATAATAACAACACATTTAACAATAATAAGAATGTCAGACTAGATGACTGTTAGGAGCCCAAATATAATATTATATATTTAATAATATAATAACAATAATCATAGAATCCTTGAGTTGGAAGAGACCTCGTGGGTCATCCAGACCAACCCCATTCTGTTAAGAAGAAGGAAAATCACATTCAAAGCACCCCTGACATATGCTAATCATAATAATAGCAAATAATAATTATTATAATAGAGCGAATCCTAATAATAGGGTTGGACAAAAAGACCTCTGTGTTACCATATATAACAATAATATTGTTTTGCCGAAGGCTTTCATGGCCGGAATCACTGGGTTGCTGTGAGTTTTCCGGGCTGTCTGGCCATGTTCCAGAAGCATTCTCTCCTGACATTTTGCCCGCATCTATGGCAGGCATCCTCATAGGTTGTGAGGTCTGTTGGAAACTAGGAAAATGGGGTTTATATATCTGTGGAATAATGTACAGGCAGGTGAAAATGTTGCAGTTGGCCACCTTGATTAGCATTGAATAGCCCTGCAGCTTCAAAGCCTGGCTGGTTGCTGCCTGGGGGAATCCTTTGTTGGGAGGTCTTAACTGGTAATTTGATTGTTTCCTGTCTGGAATTCCCCTATTTTCTGACTGTTGTTCTTTAATTTACTGTCCTTCCTTTCTCAGTCTCTTGCCTCCTTCTTTTCTCTTTCTTTCCTTCCTTTCTCTATCCTTCTTTCCTCCTTGATTCTTCTAAGGCCCATTCCACACAGTTGAATAAAATCCTACATTAACTGCTTGGAATATATGGCAGCGTGGACTCAGATAACCCAGTTGAAAGCAGATATTGTGGGATTTTTTGCCTTGATATTTATTTATTTACCAGCTGTACCTGCCACGTGTTGCTGTGGCCAACCTTCCCTCCCTCTTTCTCTACTCCTTTCTTTCTCTCCTTCCTTCCTTCCCCCTTTCATTCCTTCCCCCTTTTTCTTTCCCTTCTTCTTTTTTCCTTCTCTACCTGTTCTTTCCTCTTCCTTTGCTCTTTGGTTCCATCTCCCTCCCTTTCTCTTCCTTTCTTCTTCCTTCCTTCTTCCTCTCTCTTTCCTTCCTTCCCTTTTTTTCTTTCTTTCTTCTCTCCTGTTTCTTTTCTCGCTTCCTTTGCTCTTTGGTTCCATCCTTCCTTGTCACTTTTTCTTTCCTTCCCTTTCTCTCCTTCTTCCTTCCCTCTCTCTTTCCTTCCTTCCCTCTTTTTCTTTCCCTTCTTCTTTTCTTCTTTACCTGTTTCTTTTCTCGCTTCTTTCTCTTTGGTTCCATCCTTCCTTTTCTCTCTTCCTTCCCCCTCTCTTTCCTTCCTTCCCTCTTTTTCTTTCGCTTCTTTCTTCCTTCTCTACCTTTGCTCTTTGGTTCCATCCTTCCTTGTTGCTTTTCTCTCTTCCTTCCCTCCCTCTTTCTCTCCTTCCTTCCCTCTCTCTTTCCTTCCTTCCTTCTTTTTTCCCTTCTTCTTTCTTCCTTCTCTACCTGTTTCTTTTCTCGCTTCCTTTGCTATTTCGTTCCATCCTTCCTTGTCTCTTTCCTTCCTTCCCTCCCTTTTTCTCTCTTTCGTTTCTTCTCACCTTCCTTTCACTTTTTATTTCCTTCTCTCCTTCCTTCCTTCTCTACTTTTCTTTCCTTCTCTCCTTCTTTCTCTCCCCCTTCTCTCCTTCCTTCCCCCTTTCTGTGTATGTTTTTTGTGTGCATATGTTTGTGTGTGTATTTCTGTATATATTTGTGTAAATCTGTGGTTTTGCGCATGCGTTGCAATGTACTTTTGGTTGTTGTTGTTTTTGGCTTTCTAAGTCCCTTCTGTTGTGTTTTTCAGTGTTTTTATGAGTGATGGTCACACGTTGGCCTGATATGTGTCTTGTGTCCAAATTTGGTGTCAATTCATCCAGTGGTTTTTGAGTTTTGTTAATCCCACAGACGAACATTACATTTTTATTTATATAGATTTTGTTATGTTTTATGTATTGTATTGTATTGATTGTTTTATTTGATGTTTTGTTTATTGATGTGTTGTGGACTTGGCTTCATGTAAGCCGCCCCAAATCCCTTGGGGAGATGGTAGCGGGGTATAAATAAAATTTCAAGTGCGGTTGGCGGGCACGAGAGACAGGGCCTTCTCGGTAGTGGCCCCTCGGCTATGGAATGCGTTACCAGTGGACATCAGGCAGGCCCCTTCGTTGCTGGTGTTTCGAAGGAGGGTTAAGACGTGGCTCTATGAGCAGGCATTCGGTTAGCTATGCAGTAACAACCACCCCAATAATGACGGCATTGAACAAGGATTGAATTAAGGACTATGAGAACGGGATCTGATTCTAAGTAGGCGTTGATGATTATGTGTATTGTTTGTCGATGTACGTCTTATATATTGTTCACTGTTTATTTTTACTGTAAACC